CACTGAATAATCGGTAATGTAATTTATTTAATTTATTTTAGATGTAGATTATATACTATGTATAACTTCAATTGTACACCAACAACTGTGGGGGTACAAAGTTGAAGAGAAATTATATCTGGGGGTACGCAAACGAAAAAGATTGAATACCACTGGTTTAAATGATGTGCAGTTTCCATTTTGGACAATCAGGATTCCACTGTTTAACAGTAATGTAGTAATATAGAAAAGGAAATGGTGATCTGACGATGAGTTACCCAAAATATTCATCGCATGTGAATTAAGCTGGACATAAAGTGAAGTTGATATTAATAATATCTTGATTTAGTGTTTCCATATCGTGAGGGGAAGAAAATTGAGATGGTAAAGCCCTTTGGATGTCTTAGTGTCATTCTACAAAATAGTGGAGTAACATACACCAGCAATATGAAGGGGAAACTGTCACAAGTACAAGTGGTCTTGAACATTATCAAGGGTCTCTCATGCATTTCACTAGAAATGGCAATGAAATGTGAGCTTTCAGGTTCTAACGTGTGGCTGTCTTCTGAAAAGTATGAAGCTGGCTGTGTTTTCAGTTGTGCCTTGTAGTCTGGTAGAAATTACTGACATTTCAGATGAGTTTGCTGCCTCCGTCATCAGGGCGATGAGTATGAGGATTTCTATCTTCTGGGTTGTTGCGCTGTGTAGTCTGGTCGATGTTAACCAGCGTTTCAGAGGTCATACTGCCTCCATCATCAGGGCGATGAGTATGAGGATTTCTATCTTCTGGGTTGTTGCGCTGTGTAGTCTGGTCGATGTTAACCAGCGTTTCAGAGGTCATACTGCCTCCATCATCAGGGCGATGAGTATGAGGATTTCTATCTTCTGGGTTGTTGCGCTGTGTAGTCTGGTCGATGTTAACCAGCGTTTCAGAGGTCATACTGCCTCCATCATCAGGGCGATGAGTATGAGGATTTCTATCTTCTGGGTTGTTGCGCTGTGTAGTCTGGTCGATGTTAACCAGCGTTTCAGAGGTCATACTGCCTCCATCATCAGGGCGATGAGTATGAGGATTTCTATCTTCTGGGTTGTTGCGCTGTGTAGTCTGGTCGATGTTAACCAGCGTTTCAGAGGTCATACTGCCTCCATCATCAGGGCGATGAGTATGAGGATTTCTATCTTCTGGGTTGTTGCGCTGTGTAGTCTGGTCGATGTTAACCAGCGTTTCAGAGGTCATACTGCCTCCATCATCAGGGCGATGAGTATGAGGATTTCTATCTTCTGGGTTGTTGCGCTGTGTAGTCTGGTCGATGTTAACCAGCGTTTCAGAGGTCATACTGCCTCCATCATCAGGGCGATGAGTATGAGGATTTCTATCTTCTGGGTTGTTGCGCTGTGTAGTCTGGTCGATGTTAACCAGCGTTTCAGAGGTCATACTGCCTCCATCATCAGGGCGATGAGTATGAGGATTTCTATCTTCTGGGTTGTTGCGCTGTGTAGTCTGGTCGATGTTAACCAGCGTTTCAGAGGTCATACTGCCTCCATCATCAGGGCGATGAGTATGAGGATTTCTATCTTCTGGGTTGTTGCGCTGTGTAGTCTGGTCGATGTTAACCAGCGTTTCAGAGGTCATACTGCCTCCATCATCAGGGCGATGAGTATGAGGATTTCTATCTTCTGGGTTGTTGCGCTGTGTAGTCTGGTCGATGTTAACCAGCGTTTCAGAGGTCATACTGCCTCCATCATCAGGGCGATGAGTATGAGGATTTCTATCTTCTGGGTTGTTGCGCTGTGTAGTCTGGTCGATGTTAACCAGCGTTTCAGAGGTCATACTGCCTCCGTCATCAGGGCGATTCATCGCAACAGAAAAACCCAGAAGACAGAAGTCTTCTTTAATTTACTTATTAGTGTTTATTGTGTTTCTTATATCCTTAGTTCATTACGGCTATGAATGGATACAAGATAATATTGATCAAATGATCAGTGAAAAAGGTTAAAATATCCATGAAGCCAAAATAAGTCTGAACATCGTGTCACGACCCAGAAGATGATAATCCACAGATTGAATGTGTTGGAGAACAAAACACTGAGGATAGTACAGAGTGAGTCAAAGTCTGGAAACATTTTTATCTCTTGTGGGCTGAACCACGGTTGTTTGATGAGGAAATTGATTATTTGAACTATTGTTATAGTGAACAAATCAACATTGATGAGGCGAGATGGAGCATGTGGAGACGGGAACCGCACGCAAAATTTTGGTCAGAGAAGCCGAAGGGACCGCGCGCGATACCTAGACATTGACTGGAAGAAAGCATTAAGATTTATCTCGAAGTAGAACCTGAAGTTGCGGACCAGACTCGTCTGGCTCATGTTTGGGCCCAGTGGCGAGATGCTAACACAGCGACAATTTTCAGATTTTATAAAACGCAGTGAATTTCTTTACTGAATGTGCTACTAGAAGCTTCTTAAGAAGGCATCTGCCCCATGTAGTTGGCAACTCAGGTAAGTGTCTGTAAATTAACCGATAAAGATGGAAGGTAGTGTTTCAACGTACATGAGTGTCACTTGAAGGTCTTGCTGTACATTTATGTTGATTTCTGTTATTGAATTTATGTATACGTTCGACTGCATATTAATGTCCACCAAACCCAGTAACGCACACAAAGAAACGTGGCGATACAGACTTAGTGTTATACTCATTTAATGGTTTAGGGCACTTTTAAGGAATTTCATATAAGATGCCGACACATTTCTCGCACCTACGAAGTACTTCCCCCTTGAGATCTGCCATGGCATGTGTTGCAAGATACAGCTGTGAAACTCGTAATAGAGTTTAAGTAAGTATGATTTGAGGTTTTCATGGCGTCGAGTCTGAAGATGGTCGTGCAGTCTGGTAGTTTATTGACGTTTCAGAGAAACTTCGCCCAGACTACACGGCGCAACAACGCAGGAGACTGCCATCTTCAGCGCTGCATATCTTTGTGAACACAGCTTACTGTTATTTATTGCCTGTTAGACAAGTCGGATGTGACTAGAGCTTCCACTATAAATAATTCATTACATGTTCCTGTATTCTCCTTACTGTTATTCAGTTCAAAATCCTAATTTTTCTATCTTGCACATAGAAATTATAGAAAATTATTGTAGCTGATGTTTTATGGTCCTCTTTTACAAGGGAAAAACATGGGATGAGGGAGTTCAGGAAAAGTGTTGAGGAGAATATTTGTGTCTGTGAGAGAGGAACAAAACAAGGATAAAAGATTATACAAACAGGAAATTCGTAATTTGTAATAATAGGGTTATTAAATGAAGAATAATGAGATGAGTGAGGAAATTGGCATTTATTGATATGTTTGTAAAACGAATGCAATAAGATGCCGTGACGATGGGGACGTTTCAACTCGTGAGATAACCATAAATATTTTTTTTGTCAGGATGTCTAAAGGAGGGGACATAGGATCAAATTAAATGATCTTAGAACAAATTCTTCTTTAGACTAGTGGCCAAATTTTGTAAAATTAATAATCGTGATTAAAAGTCGAAACCACTGAACAATTAAAATAGTAACTGCAATGCACGTTGCTTTACGTAGTTCTGTGAAGTATTCTGTGGCGTTATGTTTTTCTCTTTGGCAACGATAACAAGGATAATTGTGCGAGATGGTGTGAAAAGAACTAGGAATTTGGTAGTTGTTATAAACAATCCTCGCATTGCTTGGAGGGACTGAAGAACACGCCCTCGTCAAGGTAGGTGCTATTCTGACGTTGATTTTAATTAAAATTTAAACTGCTATATAAACTTGTGTAAAACTATTCCAGTATAGTTTATGAAAATGTATCGAGTGGGATAAGAATTGTTACAGCCAGTCAGCCGCTGATGAAGATAACGTGCTCTTTTTTCAAGTTTTTCTTTACGATCGAAACTAGGTTATAAGTTGGTCCACCTGGAAAAGACACTACGCTAATAGAAACAAAGAAATGCTACATGACGCCTGGGAGCCCAGCACCCAAACATTGACGAGTAATATAATGGCATTACATACAAAGCTCTGAATAACGTAAATAAAATAAAGGGAATTTAAAAAATATATTTTATACGCTTACAATCGGCATTGACTGTGATTATTTCATGTGTTTGATATGTACAGTCATCTCTGCTGTTAAGCGATAGTTACATTAACGTAAGACTCGGACCCATAAGAAATCGCGTAGTAAAATTAGTCCTTTGAAAGTTTAAAGCGCCAGGAATGAAACTGCATAAGAACAAACTCGTATATGCAAAAGTTTGCATTTCACAAACAGCTTTTACCGATTCATCGATCTCATTGGAGGAAATTCGCGTTAACGAAACTTACGTAATTGCAGAGATGACTATTTATAATTTTTATTCAAAATAAGCGATGTAAGAATTACGATTTAGTATAAGAATCAGTACGAGAAACATTGTAAAACGTTATAAATAATAGTTAAATATATTTTTTTACTTTCTTGTTTCAAAATCGACGTAAATCGAGGGCTACCTGTATCTGCTTACATTTGTGACCACACTTTACACTAAAATAATTCGTTCTGTTATATAACGGTGTATTTGCATGTATTATGTAAATTTGTTACAAATCGAAGAGTAGTTTTTAACGTCCTTATCGATTTTGTTAGCCCGGTTATGAATTGTAACATTACCTAACATCAGATTCTTCAGATCCGCTCTGGGGCCGTTGCGTTCACCTGATCTTAGATGTTCTTAACAAAAAATCACTAAATTATTGCGTGAAACAGCTGCAGGCGTCCGAACTGTCGCTGGCTGTTGAGTCGTCATACTCACAAAACCGAGTTCCTAGAAATTAAAACAATTTAATGTGACGACATCGCTTTCATGAAGAAACAGTTGACACCGTGTGTCAGGAAAGGACACGACAAAGAAGTCTGAAGGTAAGTGGGATTTCACGTTGTCTCGTCGGTCAGTACCGAATACGGCCGTCTTCCGAGTCGTAGCGCTGTGTAGTGTGTTACAAGTTTACTCGCTGACCTCTGAAACGTAGTTCAATCTTCTACCGGACTAAACAGCGTCACATCTCAGAGTACAACCATCTAAGACCAAGCTGAAACAACGTTTTCTCCCTACCCACAAGTTTTTTCGTGAAATTATCGAATACTTTTTGGCGCCTCACCAATACGTGTAAGTATACATATTAAATTGACATTATAATATTCTAATTTTAAAAAATATCTGGCTGTATTACGAGTCAGCATAGAGACTAACTATGGGCTGGACGACTGGAGTTCGATCCCCGACGGGGGCAGAGGATTTTCCTTCTAGACTCTGGGTCTCACCCGGCCTCTTATCCAATGGGTACCGGGATCCTTTCCCGGGGGCAAAGAGCGGCCGGGGCGTGATGCTGACTACTCACACCCCCCCCAATTAATTTTTTTTCCTGAAAAAAGCGCCATAGTGAACATGACTTTAATGAATACGGATTTTATAAATGAAAAAAGTTTGATTTGGTTTTAAGCGATGACTGAGAAAAAAACCATGTCAAACCTTGAGCGCGGACATTTGGCCTATTCTGCTCTGAAGTCCTTTTATCTTCTCGTGGAGTGATAGGGCAACATTTCCCATCCATAATATCGCACTTGATATATTTATTAGCGCGTAAAATTTACAGATATAACCTATGACCTATGTCAGATAAAACTTTGGCAATTATCGTGTCATCTTCGTTCTGGATGATCCTGATCAATGAATGTTCATAAAATTTTGTATCGGAATCTTTAGAGCCTACTGAAATCTGCGTAGCTGTTTAAATTTTCATCAAATTCGTTGTGTTGGATGCTCTGGTTACATCGAACCGCTTTTACATTCATCTCTAATATCTGTTCATCGGATCGTTTTCAATCTCATGCACAGATTTTGACAGCAGTCTGCACAAATACAGTTTTTATTGTTATTACCTGTCGAGGTTGTACTCGAAAACGTTATGACCTCACAATTGGTTTCTTCTGATGTTTACGTAACACGCAAATCGTTTATGTTGCGTGTCTGCCATTAATTTTCCCAAGGCCGGCCCTGAACAGTGGACACTTTTCTACTGCCGTATATTCTCAGCAGCTGTGATTTTTATGACTTCACAATTAATTCATAGCAATTCGTTAATTTTAAAAACTCATCGTGACAGTGTACTTCACTTTTGTTGTGTTTGTAAAATTTTTATATGAAGGTTTTCACGGCTGTGAGTATGAATATTTCTGTCTTCTGGGTTGTTGCGCTGTGTAGGCTGGTCGATGTTTACCGACGTTTCAGAGGTCATACTGCCTCCGTCATCAGAGTATGAACATTTCTGTCTTCTGGGTTGTTGCGCTGTGTAGGCTGGTCGATGTTTACCGACGTTTCAGAGGTCATACTGCCTCCGTCATCAGAGTATGAACATTTCTGTCTTCTGGGTTGTTGCGCTGTGTAGGCTGGTCGATGTTTACCGACGTTTCAGAGGTCATACTGCCTCCGTCATCAGAGTATGAACATTTCTGTCTTCTGGGTTGTTGCGCTGTGTAGGCTGGTCGATGTTTACCGACGTTTCAGAGGTCATACTGCCTCCGTCATCAGAGTATGAACATTTCTGTCTTCTGGGTTGTTGCGCTGTGTAGGCTGGTCGATGTTTACCGACGTTTCAGAGGTCATACTGCCTCCGTCATCAGAGTATGAACATTTCTGTCTTCTGGGTTGTTGCGCTGTGTAGGCTGGTCGATGTTTACCGACGTTTCAGAGGTCATACTGCCTCCGTCATCAGAGTATGAACATTTCTGTCTTCTGGGTTGTTGCGCTGTGTAGGCTGGTCGATGTTTACCGACGTTTCAGAGGTCATACTGCCTCCGTCATCAGAGTATGAACATTTCTGTCTTCTGGGTTGTTGCGCTGTGTAGGCTGGTCGATGTTTACCGACGTTTCAGAGGTCATACTGCCTCCGTCATCAGAGTATGAACATTTCTGTCTTCTGGGTTGTTGCGCTGTGTAGGCTGGTCGATGTTTACCGACGTTTCAGAGGTCATACTGCCTCCGTCATCAGAGTATGAACATTTCTGTCTTCTGGGTTGTTGCGCTGTGTAGGCTGGTCGATGTTTACCGACGTTTCAGAGGTCATACTGCCTCCGTCATCAGAGTATGAACATTTCTGTCTTCTGGGTTGTTGCGCTGTGTAGGCTGGTCGATGTTTACCGACGTTTCAGAGGTCATACTGCCTCCGTCATCAGAGTATGAACATTTCTGTCTTCTGGGTTGTTGCGCTGTGTAGGCTGGTCGATGTTTACCGACGTTTCAGAGGTCATACTGCCTCCGTCATCAGAGTATGAACATTTCTGTCTTCTGGGTTGTTGCGCTGTGTAGGCTGGTCGATGTTTACCGACGTTTCAGAGGTCATACTGCCTCCGTCATCAGAGTATGAACATTTCTGTCTTCTGGGTTGTTGCGCTGTGTAGGCTGGTCGATGTTTACCGACGTTTCAGAGGTCATACTGCCTCCGTCATCAGAGTATGAACATTTCTGTCTTCTGGGTTGTTGCGCTGTGTAGGCTGGTCGATGTTTACCGACGTTTCAGAGGTCCTTGCTGCCTACCCTGATGATAGAGGCAGCAAGGACCTCTGAAACGTCGGTAAACATCTACCAGACTACACGGCGAAGCACCCTAGAAGACAGTCATCTTCTGTTGAAATGAGTCTAGCAGCTTAGAAATTAATAACATTTTGCATAACATAACTAAGGAAGAGACTTTGTAAGTGGGTATATCTTATGTGTGCTCTGCTATCCCGGGAATATAACGTCGAAGCTTGTATGGGGATTCCGTGTCTGTCCTCTGGGTCCGTGATCGCTGTTGGGTTAGGGTGAATGAAGATGCCGGTGACTTGGTTAGGGCGAGATCGAGAAAGTTTAATCTCATCTTGTGTTTGTAGGGTGCAGCAGAGGCCTTACCAAGCACGAAGCTGTTTAAGCTCTTTAAGTGAACAGCTTTGACCTGGCTTAGATTACATGGAAATATTTATCTATGTAGAACTGCAGCTGATAAGGCCTCCTCAATTATGTCGGTTATGGTTCTCGTAGTGCAGTCAGGGGCCATTGAACATCACTAAGAGATCAGGAGAGTACAGTGAACGGAGCCTGGGGAAATTTAAAGTACCCTCCGCCCTCTTAAAGCAACACAATGGAGTTTATGGACCAGAGCCCTTCTTGAGAAGCGAATAGTGAAATTTAACACGTAAGAACCACGTCAATAACTGACGTTCGTCTAAAAAATTACATGGGCAACAGATATGAGAAGGTCTGAATGCCATGTACGTATATTTGGTACATCTTATGCCTGTCACTCGAAGATATATTTGATTACAAAAATAGTTCGTACAGAAAAATTCCATTAAAATTGACCTCAATTTAGAATAAAGTTTGCAGATATAGACATTTATAACAGGCATGAAAAATGAATGTGTTGAGAAATGTCAAGATAATTGACATTTTCTTTCTTATGAATATAAATACCAACTGATAGTGCCAGAACCTAGTTTAGATGAAGCTGAACTAGCCATTGGGAAATTGAAAAGTTATAAATCTCCAGGTATTGATCAGATTCCAGCAGAATTAATTAAAGCAGGAGGGAAAGGGTTACTTATGAGGATCCATAAGCTTATTAAGTTAATTTGGGATAAGGAAGAGATACCACAACAGTGGAAGGAATCCATAATTATTCCTGTTCATAAGAAGGGGGACAAGACTGAGTGTGGTAATTACCGAGGAATTTCTCTGCTGTCAACCTCGTACAAAATTCTATTAACAATTCTTTTGGCAAGATTAACCCCATATGCGAATGAAATTATTGGGGATCATCAGTGTGGGTTCAGACGAAACAGATCAACGATTGATCAGATCTTTTGCATTTGTCAGATACTAGAGAAAAAGTAGGAGTTCGGTGGGACCGTACATCAGTTATTTATAGATTTCAAAAAAGCCTATGACTCGGTTAAGAGAGAATTGCTATATAATATTCTTATTGAATTTGGTATACCAAAGAAGCTAGTGGGTCTAATAAAAATGTGCTTAAATGAAACTCATAGCAAAATTCGTATTGGAAAATATTTATCTGTGTAATTTTCCATCAAGAACGATCTAAAACAAGGATATGCTTTGTCTCCTTTGCTCTTTAATTTTGGGCTAGAATACGCTATCAGGAATAAGGGCTTTGGTTAATTCGGTTATGAACGTTCGGGTTCGGTAAGCCTTTGGTTAGTTAGTGAATTTATTTATTTATTTAGTGTTCTGTCTGACGACAGGTCCATATGAACAGGATCCTTCCATCATTTTCTCGGACTGGGACCTGTTCATATACGTTCTTGGCAGATGATCCAGAAGTGGTTTGCCATTGCCTTCTTCTGTGTGTGAATGGAGTAATTGTTGGGATGCCAATGAGGAAAACTCCGTGTTGCCTAGGCCACGGCCTTGCCCAACACAAGTTAAAAATTCGGGCCCCGCCGG